AAATCTGGAGATTTAGGACAAATCAAGACCAAAAAACAGACTTGAAAACTGGTTAAGGTGAGCAGAAAATAAGCTTACTTAATTACGTCTTTTACAGAACGAGACGAAGTTTCAATACATTCAATTAAACTTAACAAGAACAACTGAGACAAAATTGAAAATAATGCAAAAGGCAATGCAAAATACAAAATGACACATTTCTTGTCAGTAAATTGGCGTTTGTAAATGTTTTTGAATATTTTTAGCTTTTTAAAGTGAAAGTCTAGGTCTTTATACAATAACATCTCTCAGCAACACAAATTTAAGCTCATTTTTATCATTTTACTTGCTCGAACAGCTTAATAAACAGTGTAAATTTATGTTTCATTCAATAGTTAAATAAATTTTCTGTAGAAGGATATAAAATTATTGAATGAAAGTCTTCTTTGTTTTGCCGATATGACCCGCGATAGGAGGCGAACAAAGCTGCATTTTCCTTAAACGAAAACCATACGATAGTTGGTTAAAAACAACCGAATTGAATTTTTAAAGATTTACAAAGCTAAATAGAGGAATAATATTTGTTGTCGTAATATGCTCTCCGTGTTATATTTCCTCCAACATTAAAATAAATTAAGCTTATCTATAGAAATATAAAAAGTTTTGAGAGAAAGTCTTTGATTTGTCGATTCGTCGAGAAAAATGCTTGTCAGAAAAACTACATATATACCGCGATTGTTTCCTAAAAAAACATTCTTAAAGAACACTTCTGATCCATCTTTGACTACATGAAAGTGTTTTTTAAATTGTTTTTGGTCTATAACTAGTCCTAAAGCGATTTTTTTCTGTGCATTTGAGAGCCGCATTTGTGAGTAGTTTTGCTTTGACATCATGCGGGATTCCTGTGTTGTGTACACAGACGGACGGACGGACGGACGGAAGTGACGTCAGCCAAGCCATGAAAAATAAACTTCATGGTTTACCATTTTTTCTTAAGTATGGTGCTCCGCTCGCGCGGGCCGGCGGGAGCTTCTCTATAATGCACAAGTGTGACGTCATCTATGGAAAACGCTATTGAAATCTACCCTGTAGTCATAAACACGGTAAAATGACGATCTATTAATAAGTCACTGAAGGTTTTGTGGCTAACTGGTTTTATTGAGTTCGCAAATTGACACCTTGACAGACGTTCTATAACTTGAATCTAGCGTACACATTGACGTAAACACGACCTGCGTTGTTGCCTTCGGCCCAGTTCTTCAGATCTTCCCCGTACCAGATCCTCATTTCTTTATCCAAGGGGAAGTAAAATGGTGTGCGGTAATCTGTAAAGATCAACTCATCGGAATCCAAGGGGTTAACGAACGGCGACCAATACCATAAACCAGCGTTGTGCCTACAAATAAATGCCGATAAATAAATGCTGCTAAAGTCTGTTTTTCTGTCTGTCTGTCTATTTGGTTGTCTGTCTGTCTGTCTGTCTGTCTGTGTCTGTCTGTCTGTCTGTCAGTCTGTCTGTATATCTGTTTGTCTGTCTATTTGTCTCAGTGTTTGTATGTGTCTGTTTGTCTAGCTCTCTCTAGTCTTTCTCTCCTTTTATTCTTTCGTTTACCCCCTCCCTTTTCCCATTAGATTGTCCCTTTCCTCCTTCCTTCCCACTTCCCTTTCCTTTTTTTCCCATCCACTATTAGTTTTAAAATGACTTACTTGATATATTCCTGCTTAGGAAACAAAACGTTGTTGTTATCGTCCGTCACAATAACATTGAGGGGATAACTTTTTAAGGGAGCATAATTATAGCATCCCCACCGACTGTCGTACTCTACTCCCCCGACACAGCGCACCTTTCCCGATACGTACTCCAGTTTAATGGCCATTACCACTCCTCCTCGGATATAGTTGTTAAACGATCCGTAGCGGTTGCCTTTCGGTTCGAAACAGACAGTGTGATGGCTAATTTTCACCCAGCCGGTCTCCCAACAGTTTTGCTGACCTTGATCATCTACGAAAAATATACGACAAAAATGTGGTTAATTTTCAGTTTCGGCGATTTTTAATGACTAATTAACAACAACAACAACAACAACAACAACAAATTTATTACTTTTTGTTATAAATATTTACAATTGATTTCAAGGTAATTAGAAAAATTATACAAATAATAAGTAAATGTTACTCAAAATAACTAAAAAGCTAATCTAGTTGAGTAACAATGTTCTAAGTAATTAATCATAAGTGGATGGTCGTATATAATCATGTAATGCCATTGCAGCTATGTTGATTACTCAAATCATGACTTGACAAAACAAAATTTAAATAATAAGCACCAACTTCAAAAAGAGCAAGCTAAAATGCGGTTTTGGAATGTTTCATTTATCGCTATCGGCACAATACAGTAAAACCCCGCGTGTAAGAACCTAAAATTATTGAGCTTTATTACATAATTTTTCAAAGTTTATTTACAATATAATATTAAAACAGGTATTAGTAATAGTTACTCAGAAAAGCTAGACTAATCGAGCTGAGTAGCTGAAATTTAAGAACCTATCAGGCTGAAATTGTCATTTTAAGCACCCTTCACATAAGAACCATTTCAGGCTGAAATCTCAAAGTAGGTTCTTAATTTCCAAATATAAAGTCAATCTGGTTTATTTTCTTGTAAATAATGAAATACAGTACTCTGTATGTTAGAGTGCTTTCACTGTGTCCATGAAATAAGATCTAAATAGTTACTACCTAACAGTTTTTGTTTAGTATCTTATTTAATGATTTACTTAATGTATAAAATGCCACGCCCACCAAAGCAAGTACTCTTTTCCATACCAAAAATTAAGAACCCATTTAAGAACCTAGATAGCCTGATTTCAAGTTAGCACCATTTATATATGAACCTGTTCAGGCTGACTTGGAAAACTCTAGGTTCTTATACGCGGGTTTTACTGTACTAACCAGAAATTATTTGCATTCAAAATTGACAGATATTCGGTCAACTGAGGACTGACTAGCCACGCCCTGATGTGTGTTTTTTTTTTTCTTCCACATTTTAAATTCTCATGCGTAACTTCTCGAGAATTATAATTTCATTGACATTCCAAATTAGTTGGATTTAAAGTTGAGTTAAATTCTGAGAAAACATTGACTAGAACGCTTCTTCGTTAACAACACAAGGCAACACTAGGGTAGTTCTTACCAACAGCGTCGGACACGTCGGACACCTCAGCCACCTCGGCACTGGTCACAATGGCCGAGAGGAGAAATACAGCGTAGATCAACATAGTAAGGGTTTTCCTACAGAATAAGCAGAATGAGAGATAAGTCATTGTTGGTTAACGTTAGCTGATGGAAGCTCAACTGATGTAAAAACTGATGCTCTCTCCGTAATACTCTGAACTTGAAGAACCAATAACTACGAATCCTTTTCTGATTGGTTGG